CCGCCGCCATGCCCGCGTGTAGCCGCGGGCACGGAGTTCCACTACCGGGCATTTAAAAATGGCGGCGCCCGGGAATATTCAACTAAAGCCTGGGGTATTTTAATCCCGGGCTTCATTTGCAAGTTCGACTGCCTACATTAGCCACCCTAGTTCAAACTAGGGCAGACATACCCCCAGATACAAAGTTTCCATGTAAAAAGGCTTAATACAAAGTTGCTGTGACCTATAAGAAAATAGACAAAGTTTCTATATAAAAGGACTTAATACAAGTCCTTCAAGGATGGGTTGATTGAGTTCCGGTTGGTCGTGCTTTGGGCAGGGGGCTGGATTTGTTGGCCTGATGTCTCTTCCAGCCCTGGGATTCTATGATCCAGCAAAGCTCAACCCTTATTACAATGCTAAACGGACTTGATACAAAGTTAAAATACAAATTTCAGTGAGAAAGTGATTAAGGCAGAGATCAATGAGATGTATCTACCTCAACGGCTGTGGCTCCTAAGCTCATGTGAGAAATGTCCAACCTAAACCTCCCTTGCTTCAGTATAAGCCCGTTCCTTTTTGGCCTATCCTCAGAGGCCAAGGAGAACAATTTTGCTCCCCCCTCCTTGTAACATCTGAGGAAGTGGGTTTTGCCCAGGAGAGCTCATGGGGCTCTATATATTTTGGGTGCCCCATACAGGACTGCCCGCAGTCAATAACAGGCTCCAAGGCCCTGGTGTTCAGCCAAAGTTCCCGTGGCATCCGTGCGATTCAAAGGGGCAGCTGCGGAGAGCCTGGGGTCAGCTGAGAACTTCCCAGCTGACCCCTGTTCCCATGGCCTGCGCTTCCCTTGCACAAACACACCCGGCCGGCAGGCGAGTTGGGTCGCCGTGGCACGTGATTGTCCGCGAGGTGTGTGGCTGCCCTGCCAAATGTGTGTTCCCAGCCCCGATGTAATTTTGCCGCTGCTGAGCGACTTTGCGGCCTGTCTTGGGAAAGATTGTGCTTTGGGGCGGGGACGATGCCTGGGGCCTGTCCTCAGCTCCGGGAGCCCAGGGAAGTGGCTTGCAACCTCTTTTCATTCCTGGCCCCCTAACAAATGTTGGATGGAGGTGTGGAGTCCTTCAGAAAGTTCAGATCTAATCTGCGGACTGCAAATCACAGACAGAGGGGTTGGTGCAGGGAGACTGGGAGTGAGGCCTGGGTTTTGTTCCCAGCTCTGGGAGGGGAGTGGGATCTAGTGGTTATAGCAAGGGTGGGGCAGGGTTGGGAATCAGGACATTTTGGTTCCACGCCTAACTCTGAGGGGGGAGTGATGGCTAGTGGTTAGAGTGTCGGGTCTGCAGGGTTCCTAACTGGACTGAGGGCCACAGAAGAGGTCAGGGAGTTGATTTGTGGGATTTAGGGAATTCTGGACAGCTGTGTTCTAGTCCCAGCTAGGGCAGAGAAGTGGGGTCTAGCGGTTAGAGAAGGGAGACCCGTAAACACCCCTCCAAAGACTCGCACCTATACACCAGGGACACACACTCTACCCCTTGCAGAAGCAGTGCTCCAACACGTGCCCTGATACAAAACACACATGACACCCCAGCACCCCTGAGCGCACCACGCCCCTCACACGCCTGTCACACGCACAGAGAAAATACTCGCTCTGATCCCAGACCCCGGTACAGGGGCTGCACCCCCGACAACCAACACGCCACGCACATGCTACTGCCATGTATGCACCAGACATGCTGCTCGGACGTGTCTCACGCTCACACGGACAGCAGGCGAGGCACCCCGCACGTGGGGGCCGCGTAGACACCCGCCCGGGCACTCGCCAGGTGCTGCGGGGGCTGATGCTCCGTGGGAGGGCGGGAGAGGCAGGCAGCTGGCTCGGACATGGCCGGGGGCTGGGAGATGGCAATCTAGGTCAGTGTCATACCGAGGGGGGAGGGGAGGCTGCAGGGCGCCAACTCCCCCACCCCCCACACCAGCCGCTTGGAATGAGGTCAGCGCCTGCCTCGCCCGGCCGCGGAACAAAGTGGCATTTGTCTCCCTGCCGGCTCTGCAGGGCAGGCAGCCGTGCGAACGGGACCTGATTGCCATGGGACCCCCCACGCACGCAGGGAGGGGGGGCATGTAACCCCCCTGCAGCATAGATCCCCCCCTTTGTTACAAGATTCAGGCTGGCCGTGGTGCAAAGGGGTCCAGCCACGGGCGGGCTGAGCGCAGGGGTCGTTTCAGGACAGCAGGACGGGGTGGTGTGTGCCTTGGCGGATTTCTTGGAGCTGAGAGGCGGCCCATAGCTGGGGGTGGCGGGAGATGAGAGTCAGGACTCCTGGGTTCTGTTCTCAGCTGGGAGGGGGTGGATAATGGAACAGGCTAGGCAGGGAATCAGGACCCGGGTTCTAGCCCCAACGATGGGGGTTAGGGGGTGGTCAGGACCCCTGGGTTCCATCTCTGGGGCTGGGAAGGGAGTGGGGTGTAGTGGGCTGGCACCCCTATGCCCCCACTCTCCTTCCAGAGCTGAGCCCACTGGGAGTTTTGAGCCCCTGTCTTGCACTTCTGTAAATTTTCCCACCCCCATGAATGATACCAAATTTTTTTTGGGGGGGGGGCACATACACAGCCATATAAGCTGATCTCTCCATGTGGCTCACCAGAACCAGCCACTGAACCAGAAGAATAGAACATAAAGGGGAATTAACAAGCACCACCAAACTATTTACACTCCCCCTCAGCCAGTGCGCCATCCTGCTACTCCCACAGCTGTATTTATATTCAAGGCCAGTGCCACCCCCCTGGCCCAGACTGGCCTTGTCCCGCCCGTAGTGGGAGGAGCTTACTCTATATAAATAAGGCCCTGAAATTCACAGCCATATAAAAAAAAAGCACATCATGGACCATAACATCTGGTCTCGCTTGTGAACTCGGGTCTTTTGTGTGCTTTTCCCCTTGATGCTACAGGTTTCACAGGAGATGTGTGTTTCTCAAATAGGGGGGCCTGACCCAAAAGGGAGATGCAAGAGACTCTTTTTTTGGGGGGGGGTGTATTGACACCCTTACGTCAGGGCTGCTGTACGAGCTGGATAGCCAGACAATGGTGGTCGTTGTCCAGACACCCAGCTCTGAAGGCAGCACCCTGCCAAAAGCAGCGCATAAGGGTGGCGACACCATCCCATGCCACCCTTACTTCTGCGCTGCTGCTGGCTGCTGGCGGTGAGGCGGCCTTGGAATCCCCCGTAACTCCTTTTCGGGTCAGGATTCCTACAATTACAACACTGACATTTCAGATGTAACTAGCTGAAAGCATGACATTTACCATCAACTCCTATGACTGTGAAATTGACTGTGATTTTGCCCCAGATATAAAACTCAGTTTCCAGTTTGGATTCCTTCCCCAAACCCTGCTCTTGTAGGTAAAAAAATAGCTCCGTTCTGGATGAATGAGGTAGATTATTAACTACACCCATTTCTGGGGGAGTTAGGGATCCCTAAACATATTTTGTGCTGATTAACTTTCATGGCTGGGAGGGGAAATCACTTAATGGTGGGTTTGTTGGTTGTGGGGGGGGGGAATAGCATAGCTATCCTAAGTGCAAAAAATCACACCAGGACTAGGCCCGGAGACTGTGTTGTCTAAAATTATTTTGGGAGGGTGGAAAAAGCAGATTCCAATCAACCAAAAGATTTAATGAATTTGTCCTGATTTCGGCAAAACGGTTTTGGTCCAAAACGGCCCTGCCGTGTAAAAAGGTCTAAACATTTTGATGTTTCAGGTGAAAAAGACATTTTGTAGAAAATTTTCCTTTGTGTTTCTTTCAAACAAGTTTTGAAGCGCTTGAAACTGAAAGAAAACATGTTGTTTCCACTTTTCAATGTGCTGAAATTTTTCAAAAATGTAGGGGTTGGGGTTTTTTTTCCAGTTGGAAACAAATTATTAAGTATTATTATTAATTGGAACTACCAGTGAACCAAAGAAACAATCCATGTGTTTCTCCAGCTCTAGTCAAGTCCACCCAAAATCACAAGATTGGTGTAAACAATTATGAGATTTAAAAACAAAAAACAAAAAAACCCACGTAGTACATTTGGGGTTCTTCTGTCCAGCTGCCTCTTGTTTTCTGTAGCTCGCACGCAGGTGACATTTAAAAACTTTTCTCTATGAGGAGGTGGGCTCGACATGCACTTTTCCCCACCTTCATGTGACTCTGGGCTTTCAGAAAAAACGTGAGACATTGCCAGAGTTTGCAACACCGGACAAATCCCATTTCTGCACGTCAGCTGATCTAGGCTGCTGGTTCTTATTCCAGAGTTTGCAAACCCCCCCATCCTTGTTATTCCAGGGGCTCTCCACTTGATCCCAGCTAAAAGGGGCCTGGCGGGCCCTTTGGAAAGGGGTCATGTTGTGGTCAAGTTGAGGAACCCTCGTCAGCTGTCTGGTCAGCCCTGGGAGCGTACCAGCCTCTCTATACCAAGACAGCCTGCTTTGCCCTCTGGCAACACACCCGGTTTCATGCACGAGACTCCTGGATTCCAGTCCCGGCTCCAGGGTGCCAGCTAAGCTGCATCAGGGCAAACAGCAGGAGGATGTCGGAAAGTGTGTCCCCGTTACAGGGTGCAGCTTTGGATCAAGCTCCTGTATGCACCAGATCCCAGGCCCCTATTGAACGCCCCATTTAGGGCAAGAGGGCCTGTAGGCTGCCCTGTGACTGGATCGAGCTTTGGAATCCTGAATCCCTCCCCTCCACATTAGACCCTGCCCCTCACCCAGAGCATGAGAAGGAACCCCCCCCCCAGCTGTAACCACTAGGCCACAAATAATCCCAGGAAATGAATTTGCTGTCTAGGCACAGAAAATGAAACTGACTGGGCTTATGTCCCAGGCAGAAGTAGGTGCAAAAGGGAGCATCCCTTTAAGTTAACCCTGAGTTACCCACAAGCGTGTATGTGATGCCTTACCAGGGATCTAGGGGGAAATTGAAGGTTCTGGCTCCCAGCCGGCTGGCCCCAGATGTCGGTCCAGAGCTGTATTTACTACTGGCCGCCTGCTGACCTGCCACGCCTGCTGGTGGAAGAAATGGCACAGCTCTGCCCTCCGGTCAGGCTCTTCCAATGGAGGCCCTGCAGCCTAGTGGATACAGCAGGTCGCAGGAGGCCTGGGTTGAATCCCTGGCCCACTGGAGGATCTTGGGCATGTCACTTCCTCTGTGCCTCAGTTTCCCCCACTGTCAGGCAGCGATGCTGCTGCTGACCTGGCCGCCTTTGAGAGCTGGGTGTTATTCACTGGTGCAACGGGCCGAGCGCCCCCTCGTCGCTGAAGTTTTCAGGCGAGACAGAACCTCCTGGCGCCTGTCGAGCCCCATGTGGGGACGGATCCACTGGGCAGCCCCAGCAGGGATGGGCTCGTTTTCATCTTGGGGTAAAGGGGGCGGGGCTGGATAGGGCTGTCCTAGCCTCCCTACATGGAAGTCGAAATTACCTGCTGTCTCCTCTCCACCAGGCGTTGCCAGGGGTGAGCTGGCCCAGCTCTGTGAAGAGCCACTGGGGTCAGCATTGCTCCGAGGGGAGAGCACCCCCTGCTCCCTGCCGCACAGCGCCCCCTGCTGAGCCCCCAGCCTGCTCCCTGCCCCACAATAAATAGAAATTAATAAATAACCTTTAATTAGTCACAGACAGAGACAGTTGACAGGGAATTTTGAAGCTGAATAAATGTTAACAGAGAGGGTAATTAACCAGTGCAACAACTGCCAAGGGTTGTGGTAGAGTCTACATCACTGGCAACTTTTAAATCAAGATGGGATGTTTTTCTAAAAGCTCTGTTCTAGCTCAAACACTAATTAATGTGAGGATGTTCTCTAGCCTGTGTTACACAGGAGGTCAGACTAGATCACATTGGTTCCTTCTGGCCTTGGAATCTGTGAAATGTACAAGAGCATTTAATATTTAGGCTTTTATTTTTTTTTTAGTTTTAGGCCTCGCCCCACAGCGCCCCCTGCTGGGCCCTCACTGGCTCCCTGCCCCACAGCACCCCCTAGCGCCACTCTGGGACACTAAGCCAACCCTGCCTGCCGGGGAAGAGCGCCCCATGCTGGGCCCTGCCCCACAGCACCCCAGTGTCACGAATCATGGGCCATGTGAATGGTTCACGCATCCACTCATGCTAATCACCAGTAAGTGAGCCGAAGAGAGGCTGTGCTGAGGTGCAGGCAAGAGCCTGGGAGGAGTGTGGACTTGTTTACAACTTTAAGAAGAAGGACCGTGTGAAATAAAACCTGCTCCCTGCAGCACAGCGCCCCCTGCTGAGTCTCGCCCCGCTCTCTGCCCCACAGTGCCCCCTGATGAGCCCCTGCACTCCTCCCTGCTGCATAGCGCCCCCTAGTGCCGCACTGGGGCATTGCCATCAGCACTGATTGACAGGGAAGAGCACCCCCTACCGAGCCCCTAGCTCCACATTGGGGTGAGCAGTGAGGGCCAGGACCCCATCTTGTGACCGCACCCCAATCCCTGGAGCACAGCACCCCCTAGGGCCACCCTGGGGCCAGCGTTGATTAAAGTGGTGATGCGTGTCCCCCGTTGACTCCCGGCACCATCCTGCTGCCCATCCAAGTTCTGAGCTGGCACATGGGACCTTCTGTGATCTGCAGCAGGGTCTCCAAGGAGCAGGGCAAAACCAGACACTCCCCCGCCTCCGCCATCAGGACATGCATGTCATTGCTGCGTGCCTCGGTTTCCCCCTGTCAGGGATAATACTGATCTGACCGCCTTCTCTTCACGGTCTGACCCCATTCTCCTCCCCCTCACGATGCCCCCTCCCCCCCCGCCGCCACCGCCTGCCAGGTCCCCATTGGGTGTCACAGCCCTCAGACTTCCTCTAACGAAAAGCCACACAGGAAACACTGAAGCAAGAAAGGAGCGATTTCTCTCTCATGCTCTTGTAGCTGCACCGTAAAAAAAAATAGGGGAGAGATTTTTTTTTTTTTAAGACCCAACCCGGCCTTGAAATCTCCCCTCCAGGGGTGCTGCGGGCCCCACGCCCTGCTGGAGGCAGCCTTCCCGGGATGTGAGCGTGACGGGGAAGGAGCAGCCAGAGCCATGGGTCCCCGGATTGTCTCTGAGCGCTGTCTGGGCGTGGGCTGGGGATTTTCAGCCTCCCCTTGCCCCGTTCCCATCTGCTGAATCTTGAGCTGATCAGCGGAGAAAGTGAAATTGACCTTTGATCCCAGGCGGAGGGCCAGGCCACCTTATGACCCCCCCTCTTGGCTGGTTTCAATGGCTCAGGCCCCCACGAAGCGAGTGGCCCAGAGGGACTGGAAGATTTCTCCCTTCGGTGGGTTGGAAGCTGGGGCTGGGGGGACACCACCCCCGGGGGGATCTCTGCAAAGGGGCGACAGAGCCAGGGCTCTCTAATTTGGGCTCCAGCGGGGCAAGCATGCCCGGGTTTGAGTGAGCCAGGCAGGTGAGCAGCCCTGGGTAGGAAGAGCCGGGGTGGGGGTGGGATGTTGCAGTTGCAGGGTGGGAAGTTCTCCTCCATCCCTGGGGCAGATGGGAATATGGGGCGCATCGGTGGGGGAGGGGAGTGCCCCTCCCCGTGGAGTGGTACCGGCTAATTCCGTTGCCATCCTTTGGCATCCTCTGGCCAAAGATTCCCCCTACGTAGGGATGAATTCAGCCTCCCTTCGGAGAGGCAGGTCCGTGCCACTGTCCCCCTGCTCCCAGGGGGAAACTGAGGCCCAGGGAAGGGGAGTGACTTTCCCCAGTCTCAGAGGGGTCACCGTGTCAGGCTGTATCTGAGAAACCAACAAGGGCTCCGGGACACTTGAGAGGTGAACAGATTTCTTCGGGCATAAGTGAATGAGAATGCAGGAGCCCTGAATCCTCCCCCTCCCCCGGTTGCTCCCTACTCTCACCACTAGACCCAACTCCCCTCCCGGAGCTGGAGAGAATAGCCAAGGGTCCATAGTGTGTCAGTGCAGTCCCCATGCCAGGTGGAGTCTGGATCTGTCACCAGGGTCCTTGACCAGTCCACCCTGGCTGGCCCTGACCGGTGCATTAAAATCCCCACACACACCCTTGATCCCCAGGAGACAAAAACTCTTAGCAGCCTGAATTGGGCCCTTCCTGGAAGGTTTTCCCCCAGTGCCCGCGGGGGCAAATCCGCAGGGTCCTGTGACTGCGGCCCATGTGCTGAGCTTGGACGGTCTCGGCCAGAGGCGACAGGTTCCACTCTTCTCTCCCCACCAGGGAAAATCCCCAGAAGACATTTGATTTGTTCTTCGAGGCGGCCTGCCCCAAGTCTGCAGAGGATGGTAAGTCCTGGCCCAGCACCCAGGGTGGGCGGGTTGTATGGGGTTTACCGGGTTTCTTGGAGGGGGTGGGCCAGAAGGGAAAGGAACAGGCACAGGGGTTTTTGGTTCCACTCCGCCTTGTGTCCCCTGGGACTAAGGGCAGCTCACTGATCCGGGAGCCAGGACTCCTGGCTTCTGTCCCCAGCCCTGGGAGGTTTGGGGAGTGGAGGTGTCTAAGAGGCGGAAGGGACGAGGAGTCAGGACTCCTGAGTCTGGTAGGGAAGAGGGGCCTAGTGGGTAGAGCAGTAGTGCAGTGTGTCTTTTCCATCGCTCTGGGGGGCCCACAGACACAAGGGCCGTCCTGGGGCATTTCAGGGGGCGGGCGGCTGCGTCCGGAGGGACAGCATTTGGGATGGGCATGGGGGCATCTGCGGTTCAGGACTGACCTGAAGCATCTTTGGCTGTCTGATATCAACTGGGATTTCCTCGGGGCCCCTCAGCTGAGCAGGGACCCGTCAGGTCTGTGATTGGATGAGAGACCTGCAAGCAAAACTCCTGGGGGGCTGTTGGGTGGCAGGGGTGAAGGAGGGGGCCTACGTCCCAGTAGGATGCAGGCATTGGCGTGGGGGCTCAGCAGGTATTTTCTCTCACTTCCTGCCAGTAGCCTGGGACCGTTCTGTTCTGCCGTCCCAAGTCCCCCTGCAGTTTGAATGATTGTCCTGGGAACCAGGTCATTCACTTCCTGCCCCAAACTGTTTTCCCCCAGCGGCTCCATCCACATCGGGGGCGGGGGGGGGGGAGAGGGATCCCTTGATAAACAGCCCCCCTCCCCATGTCCCACCCCAGAAGCAGCTGCTTGTCTGTGCCGGTGAGGGATCCCTAGGTAAACATCTGTCACGCCACACCCCAGAGGCGGTCGCACTTTGGAACTGGGTGAAGAGCTGCAGTGGAAGCAGTCTGCCTATATTACAGCCCAGCTCCCGTGAGGTCCTGGCGAATCAGACACCCCCTCCCCATGGAGCAGGGGGGCTGGTTCCAGGGGCAGCACAAGGCCTTGGTTTAGTGCCTCCCCCCCATTGCAGAGCCGGGTGGCTCTCGACAGTCACAGGAAGTGGCGAGACCGGAGGTGGAGGCAGCTAGCAAGTCTGCCGTGTAGCAGCAGTGTGTGCGGGGAGGGGGGGCTTCGTGCCCTGCACAGGTGTCACGGGAACCCACATTCCCGTGCCAGCTCCCGGTGGGTGGGCACTGGCACCCTGGGGAGGGAGCTGTCCCAGCGAGAGGCAGCTCTGAGGGTGCGGGAGAATCCAGGGGCAGAGACGGATCTCCCCTCGGGCCCACGGCTCCCCAGGGATATTGTGCCTCGCTCGCCCCCGTGGGCACACCCAGCCTGGGCCCCCGCCTCCCTGCTGCAGTAGCAAGGGGGGATTTCTCCTCCAGGCTCGGAGGGCCTGGGGGACTCCAGGGGGATGGGAGATGGGCTACGGGACCTTTGCCCCCTCAGCGGTTCTGATCCAGCTCCTGGCTGTGCTGCGGCGGGAGGGGGGAGGGTCATTACCCCCCAGGAGCGCTGATGGGTGGCTTTCATAAAATGATTAGAGGGAAGGGGGTGGGGGGCTGAGAGCCAGGACGTGGGTTCTAGTCCCAGCTCCGGGAGGGGAGTGGGGTCTAGTGGTTAGAGCAGGAGAGCCAGGACTCCTGGCTTTGGAGCTTTGGACACGTCATTCCTAACCCTCTTCCTGCTCCCCACCGGAGAGGGAGTTTGGGGGGGCTCAGAGGAGGTAGAAGAGGGGGGGGCAGACAGTCATGGTGGCTCTCTCTGCTTTCCCCACAGACCCCCAGGTTCTGAGGCAGTTCCCGGAGGAGTTTGACGACCAGGTCTGTGCCCCTCTGCCAAGCGCCGTGTTTCCTCTGCCCACATGGGGGAGGAGAGCCAGCTGTACATCATCCCTCCCCCCACAGTGCACTGGGGCCTGGGCCCGGAGCCATGGGGCTGGGTTTGATCTGCCCCACGTCCCTCTAGCTCAGTACGCCCCCTGCTCAGCGATCACACCCATGGGCCCTCTCCCTCCCTGCCCCCTAGATCAGGCCCTCGTGGGCCTGTCTCGCCTCAGTGGGGTTAAACCAGCCAGGTCTCCCGGAAACTCCTCACAGCTCAGGCCTGGTGTCTGGTCTGTTGCAAGGGCTGGGGAGTTTGATGGGGCTTTTGGGGCCCCGCGTTTAGCTCCAGGGGGCTGTCCCTGCCCAGCGTGTGACTGCCACCTTGCCTTCTCCAGGAGTCCATCCAGATGCTGCCCAAATTCTGCTTCCCGTTCGATGTGGCGAGGTAGGCGGCTGCGTGGGCACCTCGATGGGTGGGCATCCGACCCGGTTCACGGGGACGGCCCCAGCTGAAAGCGTCCCAGGCTGCCTGGGGCCCAATCACCCCAGGCCAAGCTGGGCTGGCAGTGGGGTGGCTGCAGGGAGTTTCCTGCAGGGGAGGGGGGGCTGAGTTCCCCGCCTCCCAGGGGGCAAATGAAAGACCACTGGGTGCACTGAGTGCCCAGGGGAGAGGAAGATGCTGAGTCACTGGCAGGATCAGGCCCAGAGAGCTCAGTGCACCATGGCCGGGACCAGCAGAGGGACTCCAACCACTAGACCCCACCCCCCTCCCAGAGTCGGGGAGGACCCAGGAGTCCTGCACCCCACCCCGTGCTCAAGGTGTTGGCCTGGGACAAGCTCTGGTTCCTGTCTGTCACCAGTGCCCAAAGCTTCGGCCAGGCCCAACCCGGTGGCAGGGGACTGGGGCCAGCCGTCAGCTTCCTCGTCTCCCCTGGGTCTCACGGGTGCCCTGACCCCTGCAGGGTAAAGGAAAGCTCCATGGTGCAGAACTTCACCTTCGCCCTCACGGACCTGGAGGGGAACCAGCGCTTCGGGTTCTGCCGCCTGGCCGGCGGCTTCCAGACCTGCCTCTGCATCCTCAGGTACCACGCGGCGTGGCAGGGAGTGGGCCAGCGGCTCAGCCAGGGGGCGCTTTCCCCTCCGTGCTCGCGCAGCCCGAGGCGGCAGCGGGGCCCTAGCAGGTGCCCAGTTCCCACAGCTGCCGTGTTCCCCCACATCCTGCTGGGTCAATCGTTTCCATTCCTGGGGCTCTCCCGTGTCCCTGCGGCGGTGCAGCTGGCTTTGGGCGTCTTCCTCACTTCTGATGCTCCTGAATTGCCTTGCCGTGCAGCTGTTACAAACAGGGATGCGCCTCGCACCAGAAGCAGCTGCCTCTGCGCTTTGAGATATAAACAGCCTCACCCTAGCGGCAGCTGCATTTCAGGCCCTTCATCGTGACGTGCCTCAGTTTCCCCAGCTGAGCTTTTTGGGACACAGACTCTCACTCCGGGTCTATTCAGTGCCCAGCAGGGCAGGTCTTCTTCTAGGTCCCGTACCACCGACAATAAACCGCCCCCTGCTTCTCTTTCCTTCAGTTACCTGCCGTGGTTTGAAGTTTTCTACAAGATCCTCAACAACATCGCAGACCATTTGGCTAAGGGGCAGGTGAGCCCAGGACTCCTGGGTCCTTTTTGGTGGCATTTCTCCCCCCTCCTCCCCCCGCCATCTCCCGTCTCACTACATCCCAAGCACCTTATCACCGTCTCCACCCCAGCTCCCTTTGGGCAGATCAGTTTAATCCTTTCTCTCTCCCCATCAGCTCCATGAACTGTCCGAGCTCCTCTCCACGCTCTATTGCCACCCGGTGCCCCAGCTGAACAGCCCCGTCAACCTCGAATTTGTAAGTATCAGCTCAGTCTCTCTCACTAGGGGGCGCTGCCTTTCCTCTGGGTCCATTATCCATCTGTGTAGGGTGGGAACTTGGGGGAAGACGTGGAATGAGGGTAGGGGTGGGGTGGAGCAGGCGCTTGGAGGAAGCAGGGGAAGGGCCGGACACCCACCAACTAGAGAGGAAGTTGGTGCCTATCCACAACCCCCTAAAATAGCCGAATTTCACAGGGCTGGATTTAATGGTCCATTATATCCAGTATAATTTACAGCTATTTGGAAAGTAAAAAGCTGGTTTTTCCCCCCTTAGCAAACTTTTACCAATAGAAACTTTTTAGCTTTTCCTTGAATTTTTTTGCCTGAAAATGTGACCTTTGGGCACTATATTTTGGCAGAAACCTAAAAGAGTCCAATTCAAACTGGGGCTGTTGGTGCCTTGTGGGAGTTGTAGTTCAAGTCCCTTGTGTGCCTGGGACCAACTCCCTGTTTGGACTACATCTCCCAGAATGCACCACTTCCTCCCCTCCGTGAAGGGCGAAGTGTGACCTAGGATGCTGTGGTGCATCCTGGGAGATGTAGTCAAACCACAAGCCCACGCTACCATCTACATGTTTTGTTAGTCTTTAAGGTCCTGCTCAACTATTTGTTGTTTTTTAAGTTTTTTCAAACCGCAGAGTCCTTCCTATAGAGGACGACAGCAGCATGAGGCACCCAAACGACAAGCCCCACGAGACACCAAGGCGCCCTTTTTAATTGAGAATACTCTGGTTTGGGGCCAAAATATTTCAGTTTGGGGTATTTTTACATAGCAACACTTTCCAGGAGAAGCAGATGGGTGGGGGGTGGGTGGGAATCCATTAAGTCAAACCTCAGTTTTCCATTGAAAAAATCAGGACTCTTCAATCTAGTGGCCAAAGGGCTAATTAAATCCAGTGCCTATGACTTGAGGCTAGGTGGGTTCAGACTGGAAATAGGTGTACATTTTTGACCGCAGAGATAATTAATCACAGGAACAGTTTCCCAGAGAGTATTCTCCCTCACTGGCCATTTTGAAATCAAGAGACTCAAAAGGTTGAGGCAGTTCGGTTTAGGAAAGAGAGAGCCAAAGTGTGTGTGTGGAGTGGGGGGCGGGGGAGGGGAAATATAATCCGAGGCTACGAAACTGTGACAGGTGTGGAAACAAGGGAACGGAGAATGGTTATTTATCCTTCCCCACAACACAAAATCCAAGGGTCACCCGATGACATGGATAGGCAGCAGATTTAACACAAAAAAGAGGAAGGCTATTTTTTCCCACACACTGCTCGGTTAACCCGTGGAACTCCCTCCCTCAGGATGTTGTGATAGCCTCGTGCACAAATGAGTTTTAAAAAAAGAACTAGATACATTCACAATGAATAGATCCATCAGTGGCTATTAGCCAAGGTCCAGGATGTAACCCCACGTGTTGGTGACCCTGAATCTGTGTCCCAGAATCTTTGGCCACTCAGAGACGGGATGCTGGTCTAGATTGGCCATGGTGGGACCCTGTAGGGCAGCTCTGATAGGTTGTTTTTCTAAGAGGTCTGCTCTAGGGGTTATTTTGGGAACGTTTTACGGGATTTTGGCCTTGAAATCTCTTACCCCTCCAAGCCCCATCCACTGACCACGCCGGGGTGCACTGTGGTGGGGGCGTGCGTGTGTCTCTATGCTTTTATCCCCCTCGTTGTCCCGCAAGGACCAGAAGTTGAACAAACTGAAAATTACCACCGGCAACTTTCTGAAAGGCCGACACAGAGACCGGACCCAGGATCCGGCGGGCGGGACCGAGTCGGTGAGTCGGGATCCTCAAGCCCCATCCACTGACCACGCCGGGGTGCACTGTGGTGGGGGCGTGCGTGTGTCTCTATGCTTTTATCCCCCTCGTTGTCCCGCAAGGACCAGAAGTTGAACAAACTGAAAATTACCACCGGCAACTTTCTGAAAGGCCGACACAGAGACCGGACCCAGGATCCGGCGGGCGGGACCGAGTCGGTGAGTCGGGATCCTCCGCCCGATTTTAACCAGCCGGAGTGTGCCGCCCCCCCCCCCGCCACAAGATGATCACTAGGGGGTGGGTGGGACGGGGGCTGCTGGAAGGAGAAGACTCTGCCTCCGAATCTTCTCTCTCCAGCCAGGGCAACCGACTTGGCTGCCAACTAATGACCAGCATGATGATGATTAACCGTGTGTAGCTTGAGTGTGCAGCACTAACTCCGCAGCACGGTGCCGCCTGGTGGTGGGGGCTGTGCTAATGCCCCCCTCCCCCCCCACCTCTTTACAGCCTTCGTCCTTCATTGCACCCGACCTCGGCAGCCTGCCCACCATCCCGGAGAACGTAAGTCCCCGTGTCTTCCTCAGCAGGGGGCTGTGAGAGCACTGACTGGCAGGGGAGTGCAGTGCAGGAGAAGGGGCACGCACTGACGGGCAGGGAAGTGCAGTGCAGGGGGAGGGGCGCGCACTGACTGGCAGGGGGGGGGCGCG